TCAAAATGAATGTCTGGTGCTCAAGGAGATCTTACAGGCCTATGAACGGGAGTCTGGACAGATGGTAAATTTCCTTAAGTCTGAGGTGTCATTCTCAGCAAATGTCAAACCGCATGGTAGGCTGATCACGAGCGGCACTCTGGAGATGAAGCCAGTAGAGAAGCACCAAAAATACCTCGGTCTTATCACTGAAGTGGGTCGAGCCAAGAAGGATCTATTCGCGTGTCTTAAGGAGCGAGTGCGGTCAAAGCTGAAAGGGTGGAAGGAAAGGACAATGTCCGTAGCTGCACGTGAAATTCTCATCAAATCGGTGCCTCAAGCTCAGCTTACATACGCGATGTCGGTGTTCCAGATTCCGGAAGGGCTTATCGATGAGGTGCACAGTTTGATCACCAACTTCTCGTGGGGCCAAAAGAACAAAGTGAAAAGAGCTCATTGGATCAGGCGTGAAGAACTGGTGACGCTGAAAGAGGATGGTGGGATGGGGTTTAGAGACCTCCGGGGTTTCAACATGGCGCTTCTGGCAAAGCAACTTTGGGCTCTTCACTCTCGCCCAGAATCGCTCATATCTAGGATCATGAAGGCGAAGTACCACAGTAATTGCTCCATTCTTGATGCTCGACTAGGAAGCAAGCCAAGCTACATTTGTTAAGCGCACAAGAATTTTTGTGTAATGGACTTCGGTGGAGGATTGGTAATGGGGCGCAAGTCAAAATTTGGGGAGATCAGTGGCTCCCGGGCGAGCCTCCTTTTGTCGAGTCAGCGCCGACCGTTCTCCCAGTCGATGCTATGGTGCGCGACCTTATAGAGCCGGAGACGGAAACTTGGGATGTAGAGTTGGTTGACCAGTGCTTCTCACCACCAATTGCTCAGACTATATTATCACTTCCCCTGTGAGGGCCAGAGGAATGTGACCGCCTCATCTGGAGATTTAGTGAGAATGGGCAATACACGGTTAAGAGTGGATCCAGGAGGTGGCTGGCAGAGTTTATGGCGGCGGAAGGCATAACTCCCAGGGGAGACGAGAAGTTGTGGAAGCTTGTGTGGACTATGAAGATCTCGCCAAAGGTTAGACATTTCTTATGGCGGTTTATTCGTGAAATCCTGGCCACGGGGGAGAGAGTGGCGGCCAGGGACCAGAAGCGGACAAATGAATGCCCTTTTTGTGACCAGGTTGAAACCCAACGCCATACCTTTTTTGAGTTCAGTTGGAGTTCTCGTATACGGCGTGGGACCAAATGGAACGAGCTCTAGAGGTTACTGGGGTGGCGGACAGTCTTGCATGGTTTGTGAAGGTGGCACAGCAAGAGGATATGGACACGGTCGAGAAATGGGTAATGATCATGTGGGCTTTGTGGAAAGAACGTAATGCACAGCTGTTCAATGGTACCAAGTGGCCTGAAGACGAGATCATTCGACGAGCTTTGTCTATGCTAAGTGACTACCAGAAGAATCAAGGACCGGAAATACTAAGCGATGATCAATCGGGGGGCGCAGTGTGGGTGAGGACTCCTGAAGGAAGAGTAAAAGTCAACACAGATGCGGGGGTGTTTGTGAATGAAGGGATTGGATTGGGGGCGGTGTTCCGTGACCACCAAGGTCGGTTCCTTGCGGCGGCGGCGAAAAAAATGCGTGGTACTTTTGGAGTGGAGTTGGCGGAAGCTTTAGCAGCAGAGTTCGGGCTTCAATTAGCGCACCAGCTTGGCTTTCAACAACCTATTCTAGAGATGGACTGTCTACCCCTGGTGGAGAAGCTCAGAGGACAAGAAGAGGATCATACTGAGACAGGTATCATTTGCAGACGCATTGTGGATCTCTTGCAGACGACTGGTTCGAACAATGCCAGCATAGAACATGTGCGGCGTACTGCGAATAATGCTGCGCACATTATGGCTCATAGCGAGACCCAGTGGGAGAGTAGAGAAGTGTGGATTGATAGAAGTGTGGAACATTAATCTTGAGAATTATCTTATGGAAAAAAAATCTTCTGAATTATCATTTTAAATGCTATGTGTCTTTGTGATATTAATAATTTACCTTATTAATATTCTTATATGCTATGTTCTATATGGTACTTACGATTTTACGATTCGATTATACGATTTTGATTTTACCCCAGTTTTCGATTTTAGGTAAAATCTCGATTTTAACTGCTTTGCCCATCGCAGCCTCTCAAAATCTTCCTATTCTACTCGCCGGGTCATCTCCTCCACTACAAAATATCTCCTCATGTACTCAAAGTTCTCACTGAAACCTAATATCTACAACTTAGACGCAGAGGGAGCAACCGATGGATTGTAGCGACCCCCACTATTTTGATAGCTAATCAAGAAGAGCGCGTTTGTTTAGTTGTATGGTGATTCACTTAATTAACCATTTTTATTCCGTTGACAGCCTCCTCTCCGCAATTGTATTGTGTTCACGAAGATCTGAAGGCGCAAGTGCAACAGGTCCAGGGGTAAACAATATGTATAAAGCGTTGGCCAAATTGAATTGAGTCATTCTACTTGGAATATGAAGATTTTTGCTTAATTGCTTTGGTTCGTGATGCAACTATGTTATGTTTGAAGGTAGACCAACGCAAACAACAGCACAGCTCCAGGGCTATTCTGCACATAAGGTAGTTGGGGCATTAATTGATAATTATTTAGGATTATTCCTACAAGTACATAATTTGGAACGTGCCTTTATATTGCATTGATTAATAGTTGTTTGAGATTTTTCAAATGAGTGATTTGACATGTTAAACTCTCTTATTTTTGAAAATGGAGTCTTCGAAGTGGAATATGAAGATTTTGGATTAAGCTTGGTTTCGTAACGCCCTTATGGGTGTTTATTCTCTAAAATGCAGCTGTCTTTCAAAGTGCCCGTTGCAAATGGCAAGTCAGGATACAACGATGGTACCGGTACACGTTTATATCATTAGTAGGTAGCAGATTATGTCCATTCTACTATATCATTTAGCTAAATACTTAGTTGTTCTTTTCAACTAAAAATTATGCTTAAATGCTGTGATTGGCCTCAGAAATGTATGTCTTTGCATTAACTGTTAATGATTGTGAGTTTTGGTTTAATGGTGAAAAGTCCATTTATTTAGAAATCTAAATTGGGCAAACCTATTGGACAATAGGAATGCCATACATTAGTGTCGTGGGAGGTTTGTTTGATGTCTCAGGGTGTTAGATTTTTAAGAAGGTTGTTTGTTGTGGCAGAGAGTCCCTAAAGCTAGCGAGGTATTCCTATGTGGGCTTTTTCTTTGTTTGACTTTTTCTCGCCTTTTTTCTTATCTCTTTTTCTATTTTTGGTTTTTGTGTGCTACCTTCAGTTGCTACGTCTTCATTTGTGAGCCATCTATACTTTTCTTATTCAGTGCCTAAAAATCATATATACTCGATTGCATAGTAGTTACTAATATATACATTTATACCAATAGAGAGATTTTAAGTTTTATCAGTTGTTAGTTTTAATATTTACTTACATTGGTTGTTTATGTAGTTTTCTTTGTAATATTTCTCATTATACAACTAATTACTATGGCTACGTAGTTGTATAAGTGGGGGTTGGACATGATAGTTCTTAGAAGCATCAATACTTGAAGGTTATTATAATGACCAAATTCTAAAGTTATGGTTTGCCTTCAACTTGCTTGGAGCATTTCAATTATGCATCAATTGTTCTCTCCGTGTAGTTAACTCTCAGACAAATCGAAAATCTTGCTGATATGTGCTTGATTGTAGTTAAATTTAGGGTTCTACTGCATTGTTGCTTTACTCTTTTTTCGTGGTTGAGTCTGCTTCAAAAAATTTAGTTTGATTTTAAAAAATTTTGCTTCTGCAGTCCTGTCTTGCCACCAACGCGTTCAATAGATGGAGACGGGAGAGGCGAAGGCTATTTTTGTGTTGTTGTTGCTGGTTTAGGGATCGGTTTGTGAAGAAGAGGGAGAAGAGAGGGGGAAAGGGAAATGCAGGAGAGGGGGATAACTCTTTTCTCCGACAAAAATGGAGTGAAGAAAGGAATTATGATCAGTAAGAATATGGTTATCTTACATAACGGTCTCTATTCTGTTTGAATTGAGCTTGAGAAGCAGTGATAAGGACGAGCTGCAACCAATTCATAGTGAGAAGAGAGCTATGAACTGTGATCATGTCTTATTTCAAGTTAGAAGGTAGTTTCAGTATAAGGATTATTTAATTTGACAAGTTGTTTCGTCCATGATTCTTGGTAGTTTCAATGCCATTCTAGCCAATGTTTAGTCTGTAATTTTTGAGAATTGATGTGCGAGTAATGACTTTCACTTAGCTTCAACTATTATGTGTGTATTTATTGGCATGTGATAGAATTCTCTTTTCCTTTTCATTGAATTCATTTTCATACTCTAATTGTATTATTTGTACATAGGCAAATCATGCTCGAGATGGCAACTCGCTGATATGGCTGGTGCAAGGAATGAAGCCATCATTAGAATTCAGACCGACAACGGGGAGGGATGCCCAGGACTAATTCAATGATGATTGATGATGGTATAATAAAAACTGCAGTCTGCATCAGCACCAATTTCTAGGCCTAAGTAAATGTATTCAACCCAGAACTCTGCTTAGCGCTAAAAATTGCCCTCACCCAACCTTGATCCTGTTTGACCCACTTCTGAAGAGTCAAGATATATGACTAATCCTCCCCGTTCGTATTTTCTTATTGACTCTTTCTGACCCTGTAGGTTGGGGCGGGGCGGGTAGAATTGGATTAGTGGGTCGGTCCTAATCAAGTGGAATCCCAATCCCTTCACTCTCACTTGCTTTCTCTCCCATTCCACAAGTGGGTAACATACAGTAATCCGGCCAACGGGCCGGGTAATAAGCTAGTACTTCTTTAAAATGGGCAAATCAATAATCACTGAAGACGTTCTAAGAAGTGAAGATAATAAAAATCATCTGTTGTGTCGATAATAAAAATGATGGACTGATTACTAGAAAAAGTAAATTTATATCACTTTATAGATAAATGAAAAAATACACATGTAATGTGACAGATTTATTACAATATAGAAAGAATTGAGGATATAATTGATCCGTTGTGTCGGCTCCATTTGTTGTTACATGCACCTCAAATTTAGAGGAATCTAGATTGTTTGCATTCATAGGGAACACCCTGAGGGAAACGCTTAAGGTCGGAGCAGTAGTTATAGATCATATACTTGCTTTGCACCCATCGGATTCTATTCCGACCAGCAGCGTCCAATTCTTGAGTTTGCCAAGCTCCCGGTGAACAAGTAGAGGAGGCGGACGCCGGGTTCCAGATGCATCCCTCTGCTTTGAAGTTTTTGTAAGAAGCCACAAATGGAGCGTTGGTCCAATCAGCCTTCACCCGCCCTCCTTGAGTTGCCCACTCATCTGCATTCCACAAGCTGGAGTGAATGCTCATTGGCTGCTTACTAGGGAAAGGAACTCCCTGTGATTCCATGTTCGTGAACACTCTTATGGGTATGTTGTCCACTAGGAATCTGCGGATACGTACACAATGGGCAAAGTTCAATTCGTCGAACCCCATAAGTTATAGTACCTACTCCAATCTTAGCAGATTGGTTGCTGTGAGATAATCAATTACTTTCTGTTAGAATTAGGACTTACATGATTCGCTGAGAGTTCCAGAGAATGGTGTAGGTGTGGAAAGCAGTGGTTGGGTCGAACCAAAGATGAAATTGTTGTTCCCGGTTTCCTTTTCCTTGGCTGAAAACATTGGTGTGAAGAGTTGTTTACCACTAAAAAATCACTCAATACCACATTGATTATTTTCAAGGAGTGGTAGTGATTTATAAGGCCAACTTAACCATATTAATTAAATTGGTTTAAGTTGGGCCTAAATGATGGTATTTTGGGCTTCATACCAGGTACCTCAACACACACTACTTGACCCACCAAACACCCATCCGTCACGCAGGGGGGTCAAGTGTCAAGCGTGTTGACACCCTTCAACATCAACCACCCAAGTCGTGGAGACCCAACCACAAGGGGGTCATCGTGAGTACCCTTTCGCCGTGTGGTGGCAAAGAGAGCCAAAATATTGGCTAAGTGTTGAGACCCACAGCACAAGGGGGTCAAGCATGCCACCGCAAGGGAGGTTATGCATGACACTGTCCAAGGGGTCAAGCACAAAGGGGGTCATGCATGACACCTACCTCGCGGGTAATTACCCCTAGACATGATGGGGCGAAGAAAGCCAAAATTTGGCTAAGTGTTCAGACCCACAGCACAAGAGGGGTCATGCATGACACCATCCAAGGGGGTCAAGCACAAGGGGGGTCATGCATGACATCGTCCAAGGGGGGTCTCGTACAAGGGGAGTTAAGCATGACACCATCCAAGGGGGTCAAGCATGATGTGTGTTGAGACAGCCAAAATATTGGCTAAGTGTTGAGACCCACAGCACAAGGGGGGTCATGCATGACACCGTCCAAAGGGGTCAAGCACTAGGGTGTCAAGCATGATGCCGAGGTGAAAATTGGCTAAGTATGGAGATCCAACCGTCCAAGGGGGTCAAGCACCAGGGGGGTCATGCATGACATCGTCCAAGGGGGGTCTCGTACATGGGGGGTCATGCATGACACCGTCCAAGGGGGTCAAGCACAAGGGGGTCATGCATGACATCATCCCAAGGGGTCAACCATGATACCATCTAATGTGAGTTGAGTATGACGAGACGCGAGCTAACTGTGGTGGCAAAGAGAGCCAAAATTTGGCTAAGTGTTGAGACCCATAGCACAAGGGGGGTCAAGCACTATGCCATCTACCTACCTTGCACCAGGGGGGTCATGCATGACACCGTCCAAAGGGGTCAAGCACTAGGGTGTCAAGCATGATGCCACCCCAAGGGGGTCAGTGCGGATCCATCGAACCCCCAAGCACCCTGGTGTCGAGCATGACGTCATGTCAAGGTGGTTAGCACGAGTACCACCAAGTGTGAAGCCTTCACTCATCAAACAAGACACCTCCATTGCACAAGGGTTAGTTATCGAGTGGCAAGCACGCAAGACAGTCAAGGCGTCAAGCAAGCTACATCAAGCACCAAGCAGTGGAGCAGCGGTTACCAAGAGGCGGTTGCACGACGGTTACAAGGGATGACTATAAATAGGAGAAACGAAGACGAAGCAAGGGTTCCACAACCAACCATTTGACACACTATGTCAAACTTTATCTTTTTCTCTGCAAATTAGCCATAGCCTTAGTTTTCGGAGCTCTTGCTGAACCTCCCTAGGAGTAGGTGTAATTAACTTAGTTTGTCCCCAAAAACCATCAAGAACATCAAACACCCTCGTTCGAACATTGTTCGGAGAGGAGTGGACCGTGTAATTATCGTTGTTCAAGAAGTCAAAGGTGCATTGATTGTGTTCAAACACAAGATTTTCCTCGCCGGAAAACAAATTGGCACACCTGGTGGGACACTGTGTGTTTGATTTGATGGCTCCACGAGAAGGTGATCTTTCACCTGGGTTTGTAAAAGAGCTAGCGGCCAGTTATGATCTTGGTCAACTAGCAAGAAGTGACGCCGGAAACAATGGTGGGGTAAGAGGCCAACCATCACCGGCGCCATGTTTGGGTGTAACCGCATCCACATTGTCTCTCCACCGGTCACTGCTGGTAGAAATAAAATTAATGGAGGAGGCTGTGGTGGGATACACCAAACAAATGGTATCTCAACTTGATTTTTTCCATACTCGCATAAATCGACGTTTGGATCAACTGGATGAGATTTGCGAGATAAATAAAAATAATTTTAAGGAGTTTTGTCAACTTTTGATAAAACCAGTGTTGAGATCGGAAGTTTTGGCAAAAGATGGTGTAAATCCACCGTCAAACATTGTTACTGAGCATACGAGTAATCTAGCCTCCGGTGGCCGGACTGCTCAGCCACGGTCAGAGAACTCATCGTCTCCGATGGAAATTCAACTACCTCTTCAACATGGTGGTTGTGGCGAGAATCTCGCTCCCACGTTCACCACTCATGTAAAGCAACCGCCTGTGCCGACAGTTACTCATAAAACTGTCTCAGAGGCTAGACCATGCTTGAACGTGAGAGTCGGTGGAGGGTTAATAGCTGATATGCTACCACAAGCTTGCCCAAACTCGATGCCATCTATGCTCGAGAGGCCTGGTGGATGCAAATCGCCAGGGGGGCATGCAGAAGGCCATGGAAGTCTACCTAACAAGGTGAAATGTCAGCCTGGTTGGCAAGTTGACGTCAAGAAAATTGAACAAATGGGTGTGTTCAACAAAATACCATATTTGTTGTCTGGAGATGGCATGGGGGGCATGTCATCAACCAAGGGGGTCATGCATGACATCATCCCAAGGGGTCAACCATGATACCATCTAATGTGAGTTGAGTATGACGAGACGCGAGCTAACTGTGGTGGCAAAGAGAGCCAAAATTTGGCTAAGTGTTGAGACCCATAGCACAAGGGGGGTCAAGCACTATGCCATCTACCTACCTTGCACCAGGGGGGTCATGCATGACACCGTCCAAAGGGGTCAAGCACTAGGGTGTCAAGCATGATGCCACCCCAAGGGGTCAGTGCGGATCCATCGAACCCCCAAGCACCCTGGAGTCGAGCATGACGTCATGTCAAGGTGGTTAGCACGAGTACCACCAAGTGTGAAGCCTTCACTCATCAAACAAGACACCTCCATTGCACAAGGGTTAGTTATCGAGTGGCAAGCACGCAAGACAGTCAAGGCGTCAAGCAAGATACATCAAGCACCAAGCAGTGGAGCAGCGGTTACCAAGAGGCGGTTGCACGACGGTTACAAGGGATGACTATAAATAGGAGAAACGAAGACGAAGCAAGGGTTCCACAACCAATCATTTGACACACTATGTCAAACTTTTATCCTTTCTCTGCAAATTAGTCGTAGCCTTAGTTTTCGGAGCTCTCACAGAACCCCCATAGGAGTAGGTGTAATTAACTTAGTTTGTCCCCAAAAAACCATCAAAACATCAAACACCCTCGTTCAAACATTGTTCGGAGAGGAGTGGACCGTGTAATTATCGTTGTCAAAGAAGTCAAAGGTGCATTGATTGTGTTCAAACACCAGTTTTTCCTCGCCGGAAAACAAGAGTGTAAGGATTGCCAGAGGAATTTCCGAGAAACTCGAAGTCGATTTCATCGTGGTTTGGTCCTTGGGAGGATAGCTGCGGAAGAAAGGAAAAGAAAAAAAAAACAAGTTTATATCTTCTGGCCACTTATAGGAAATGATTACCTAGCTATGCACACGAATTAGAAGCGATCAACATGCATCATGATGACTTACATAAAATGTGGTAACGGTGCCAGCAGAATTGCCGGCGACCAGCTTGATCTGCATATCGATTCTGCCGAAGAGGTACTGGTTCTTGGACTGGAATCCTGCTCCGGAATCCTTTTCCAGTGAGAGCGTCAGGAGCTGGCCGCCGTCCTTGATCTGGGCGCGGTGATGGCCCCATGTCACGTCGAAATGCTGGTGGAAATTGGCCTATGAGATCGCCATAAAATGACCCAACACCACTAGTATCGCCAAAGACAGAGACGGCGCCATTTCGGGGAGAAACTAATGAACAAGTTGGTACTTATGGATGTTGATTTGGAGAGAGGTAAAGAAGGAAAAGCTAGAGTAGATTGATGTTTTGATCGATGCTGTGAGTGAGTCTTATATGAGTAAGTAGAAGGAGCTGTTGAAAGCGCGGAGCAGGAGCTGGCGGGCACTGCAGAGGACGATTACAAGGCTGGCATGGAAATGCTGCATGATTGCCAATTGTATAATATAATACTGTTTTCTAGTTCTGAAACGGGCAAGTGGATAGCTGAATAAACGAAGCATCGGAGCTTCTTCAAGAAAGGTAGAATCGATTAGTATAATGATTTAGAAAACCAAATACACTTCCAGGAGGAATAATAGTAGTAATAATAAATAAATTGTGTTTCCATTCCCACCGCCGCATATGTATATACGAGAGAACCTCTTTGTGTCTATGTTCATTATTCAACGCGCAATTATATTTGTTTCCATGAACGAATCATGACTTCATAAACAAAATAAGCATTGTCCCACTCCTACCCTGCAACTTGGCGCCGAAACATAGCGATCTTGTGTGATTGTGTGTTCATGAGAAAGAGTGTTATGCATTTGTGGAAATGTTGTGGGGATGAGAGTATTTAATTTGTGGGGAATTTTGGTTAGTGCTAATACCACTGGTAAACCCGAACTATTAATTTTGTGCCATTTGTGTCTTAAAATATCCGATATGACAATTGTGTCACAACGTATGATAGTTGCGTGTCATTTATGTCCTGGCGATTTCGTTGACCGTTATAAATAACGGTTGACCAAATGGAAGTCAACATTAACATTGACTTTTGTTGACGTGGCAGCCACATAGATGCCACGTCATTGACACATCATATTTTTTTACTAAAACTAAATAAAAATTAAAATAGAAAAATTATAAAATAAAAAAGAATTAAGAAAATAAAAAGCCGTCCCTGGATTCTTCCTCTTCCTCTCTCCGGCGAAGTTTTAAATCACCAATCCCCACTCTGTCAACTGAATCTCGAGTGGATTTGTTGGCTCCGATGATGTAACCATCCTTAAATTTCTTCCGGATGTCCTGCCCTGCAACTTTTAAGAAATCCATAAGCGATCCTCTGTAAAACAAAAAGCCGCCCCGCCACCGGTGAAGACGATTCATCTATGCCTCTGTTCTTCGACTGGCCTAACTCCGCCCCAACCCGACTAGCCTAGTGTCGCAACCTGGCACACATATCTCTCTCTCTCGTATTGGATTTGGCGGTGACAGATGAAGAAGAAGCCGATTGGCGGTGACGGGGGTTCCTGTCTGCTGTGGCCGGTGGCAACGAAGCCGATTCCGAACCAGGTTGGAGCTCGAACCCTTCCAAATCGCCGACGAGGAGGCGGAGGAAAGCTCGTATCCCTTCCATTTCCATCTGTTGCTTCGTCTATATCCCCACTCTCTCTCTCTCTATCTCTCCATCTCCACGCTGTGTGCGTCTCTCTCTCTCTCTCTTCAATCGGCTCGGCTACGCAGAGAGAAATCGACGAACAATTATCGTAAGAGTAGGAACGCCGAGCTCGTTCCGAATAGTCACCGCAAATCTAATTTCAATGCCGCCGTTTCTGGGTTTATATGATATGGGTTTCTGGTTTTCGTTGGATTTGGTTTCATTGGATCTGCAGAGGCGACGAGGCTTCAACGGGAGCTGGGAAACCCGCCCTCCTCTGCTCCGCTGCTAAAGACGAAATCCCGAATCTGGTTAGGATGCTGGCAAATCGGACGGAGCTGGGGATGCCCGAATCTGGAGGAGTTCTTTCAATTCGTATTGGATTTGGACGGCGACAGAAGTAAAGAGGAGAGAAGACGAAGAAGCAGCGGGAGGAGTTCCGGGCGGCGAAGACTACGGAGGAGAGAAAGAAGACCCGAAAAGTTATTTATTTTGTATTTAATTTTTTTGTACTTTGTAATTTTCTTTTTGTTAGTTTATTTATTTTTTATGATAAAATAAATAATAAAATTCAACGTCGGATGCCACATTAGCGCTGACTAGATTTTCAGTTAAAAACTAACGGTCAACGCCAGTCAACTCTAACGGACAAATAGTTTAAGACACAAATGTCATATCGGATACTTTAGGACACAAATGACACAAAGTTAATAGTTCGGGTTTCCTAGTGGTATTAGCCCTTTTGGTTATAAGTTATAACTATTCTTTAAACACCAAAATGGCTCTCTATTATCAGCGTTGTGATTGAGCCTATTATTAGAAGTGTTTGTGAAACCATATCATATCGGTTGTTCGACCGTAAAAAATACTTTATTAGTAGGTTGTTTTTATCAGTATGAAACGGTTGAACAACGGTTTCAATATAAAATGCACCTACCACTAGTTTTTCGTACAACATCTGATACGGTTTCACAATCTTTGTTTCTAAGATGGTGTTATGTGTTTTGATTGGATGTTATTACTTAGGGTGAGATGTACTTGTAAAAATGATGTTTGTTTATATCACTAGATAAGCCCGCTCGCTTTCACTTCGCAGCGAGTAAAAGATAACTTTATAATTATTTTCAAAATAATTAGCAAAATATAACTCACAATAACTACAAAATAAACAAAAAAAATCAAAATATTGTGAGAGAATTTCATAGCAATTTACTCGTTGGCCAAAGATGTTACTGATCATAAGAGTATGATGTACATACTATTAGAGTTCAAAAATATTAGGTAGAAAATTTATGAAGTTTCTAGGGTTATAGGTATAAAATGCTCCTCTACTATGACGTTACTATTTTTTACATTAAAGATGTCCCTGTACTTTGGAAAACTTATCAAACATGCCCTTTTGCTAAAATTTCCATCCAAAAACCGTTAACCAAGACTGAACTTTGGTTTGGGCAAACCAAATATCTAAAATATCTCTAATAATTTCACATTAGAGTTTTTTTGTTCTTTTGTATAGCCAAATAATTATAATAATTTCACTTTGGTGAGACCTGGAGAAATAAAGCAAGGGTCAAAACTGACATTTCCCCTCCCATTTATCGGTGTCAGGTCGTCTAAATCTCGGTTCAACGATGATTGATGATTTTTTCAATGGAAATTTCAACTGAGGGGCATGTTTGATAGATTTTTCCAAATTACAGGGGCATGTTTGATGTAAAAAATAGTAGAAGAGCATATTTGATAATACGTCATAGTAGAGGGGCACATTATACCTATAACCCAAGTTTCTACGTACAAAATAAAAAAAAAACGGTTATACATCCGTTTAAGGCCAATAAACAGAAGATGCACTTATATTAATAAAATAAAAATCTGTCTTTTTCCTTCGCTTAATGTTACATAATCAAATTGATGTTGGTTTAAATACAACAAAATGATAAAAAAAAAAAGTAAAAGAGACCTCTAAAAGATTCTCTTATGTTGCTTATTGGAAAAATGAGCCCTAAAGTTTGGTAAAATAACCGATGAATACGCTTAATGAATAGTAAATCATATTTAAAGATAGGAATAACACTAAAGAAAAGAGAAAAATGAAAAATAAAACAAAAGAAAAATAGAAAATAGGAAAAACTCATAAACTACTCTCCTTCTTCCTGTTTGTGTCCTCCATCAAGAATACTTCTCAAGTCGGGGTTATTTATGAAATAACTGCTAAATGAATAATAAGCTTAGAAGTGTGGATTTTATATAAAAAATAATTGGCTGATGGATACTTTCAAAAGTTTTTCTGAAGGTAAGCTGCAACGGGTCCGTGTCGTTCTCTGGTTCCTATGGAAAGAGAGGATTAACCAAAATTTTAATATTTTTTACTGAGCTCCCGGAGAACACGTAGAGGAGGCGGACGGTGGGTTCCTGATGCACGCCTCTGCTTTGAAATTTTTGTAAGAAGCCACAAAGGGAGCGTTGGTCCAATCAGCCTTCACCCGCCCTCCTTGCGTAGCCCAATCATCCGCATTCCACAAGCTGGAGTGAATGCTCATTAGCTGCTTACTAGGGAAAGGAACTCCCTGTGATTCCATGTTCGTGAACACTCTTATAGGTATGTTGTCCACTAGGAATCTGCGGATACGTACACAATGGGCAAAGTTCAATTCCTCAAGTCCCACAAATTATACACAGTACTCCAGTCCAACCAAAGATGATTGATATGATGACTTACATGATTTGCTGAGAATTCCAGAGGATGGTGTACGTGTGGAAAGCAGTGGTTGGGTCAAACCAAAGATGAAATTGTTGTTCCCGGTTTCCTTTTCCCTGACTGAAAACATTGGTATGAAGAGTGTAGGGATTGCCGGAGGAATTCCCCAGAAACTCGAAGTCGATCTCATCGTGATTTGGTCCTTGGGATTAGGGCTGGGCATGCGGGCGGATCATCCGCGGGTTTGAGCCGACCCACCCGCATTTGACCCGAATTTCGTTAAGTGGGTGGGTTTGTGGGTGGGTGACGGGTTGCGCTGGGAGCCATCCGCCGGGTGGTGGGTGGGTTGTGGGTGAGTGGGCGGGTGACCCACTCAACCCAACAACAAAAAAATCAAAGTCGTTGGCGCTAGACAGAGGAGAGTGGAGACGTTAGATATAAACTCGGACGACTGCTCCTGGAGTTTGAACCTCAAAGCCAACCTTCCAAATAGAGATTCTCTCTTCTTCCCTTTACTTTTTCCTCTAATTCTTGTGCCTAGATCACCGCTCTTTCCTTTGTGAAATTATTTTCCTTAGTTCTTTGCACCTAATAATCGTCTCAATCTGTAGAAAACTCTTTCATAATAGAATTTCTATCCAATTTAAAAACTAATTCGGCATTTTTCGCCCTATTTCAACTACGTGTTTCCCTCAATGATTATCTTCACCTATTATCATGTCAAGTTGACTCCATTATATTATATACATTGTGATGTGGGTGAACCCACAAACCCACCCGCATCATCCACCATCCGCCCGACCCAACCCGAGACTAAATGTGGGTGGGTGGTGGGTTAAAAATTATCAATCCGTTTAAGCGCGGGTGGGTGCATTTTATGGTCAAAATCCACCCGACCCACCCAATGCCCACCCCTACTTGGGATGATAGCTGCAGACGGAAAAAAAAAGGTTTAATATTCCAGCCAATTGCAGGAATGTATTCGTTTAGTAGACGCAATGTGAATTAGAATTGAAAAAAATCGATATGCATTCATGACTCACATAGAATGTGGTAACGGTGCCAGCAGAATTGCCGGCGACAAGCTTGATTTGCATATCGATTCTGCCGAAGAGGTACTGGTTCTTGGACTGGAACCCTGCCCCGGAATCCTTTTCCAGTGACAGCGTCAGGAGCTGGCCGCCGTCCTTGATCTGGGCACGGTGATGGCCCCAAGTTACGTCGAAATGCTGGTTGAAATTGGCCTCTGAGATCGCCATCAAATAACCCAATAGCATCAATGCCGCCAAAGCCACAGTAGCCATCTTGGGGGTGAAACTAACAAGTGGGAGAAACAGAGAGAGAGAGAGGAGAAGAGGGAAGATTGATGCTCTGGATATTGATTGATGCTGCAAGTCTTGGTTTTGGGCACTGCCTTATATAAGGAGCAGGTCGAATGTGTATTAGCTGTTGAAAGCGCGGATCAGCAGCTGGCGGGCACTGCAGACTAATCCCATGGCCAATAAGTCAAACAGGAAATTCTGATAATTGATTATTTATTCCAGAACGGTGGACGGACGTGCTCCATGATTGCAAATCCTATTATATAATAATGTTAATTCTAAAACGGTATGGGGACGGCTAAAATGAATGTAATAAACGAGATTCAACGAAAAAAAAAAAAAATGTAATAAACGAAGCCGAAGCATCGGTGCTTCTTCACTATAATCATTATAGCAGAACCTTCCTCTGTGTAGGTGTGCTGTAATCGACGGGTAAGAGGAGATGAATCAGTCCATATATCAGAATGGTACAGATTAATGCTTCATTATGTTTTTCTTTTTAGTTGAATTGCTTTATTATGCTTAGTGGGTTTTGTTTAGGGGTGGGCAGCGGGACGGGATTGGGTACCCCTCCTGTTTGAAATGGGTACCTAGTCACATTTGAAGGAGAAACTTCATCCAAAGTTTCAAATCCGTACAGGTTAACGGGTACCCATTACCAGTACGTACAGGACGGATATCGCGTACCCAAGGATAATCCATACTCACAACAGAAAAAAATCTAGCGCTAAAACCAGAAACATTTTTCCACGCAACAGGAAAAAAAAGACAGAAATGGAGTCTCACGAATCGCATATATGCTCGCTGAGCTGAAAGAACAGACGTAACAGAAACACAAACCCAACTCAACATTAAATCGACTTTACGACAGTAAATCTGTAAAAGTTCAATTACCAATCGTTGTCTTGCAACTGGGTATCTTGAGGTTCCCTTCAGATTAGGGTAGGCAGCAGAATATTATTAATTAAGATATTAAAAAGAATTATTTCAAAATACTATTTGTTAGTGTCCTATCAAATGGAGTTTTTTATAAATTAAAAATTATTTAACAACTGATTAATATTTTAATAGCATTTATATTGTTTTTTATTTTTCTTTCCTTTCAAAAATTCTTTCTCATCAATTCTTCCCCCTCCTTCTAAGGTTGTCAACCCGGTTTAGTCTGTTGGCCCGGTCAAGCAAATGAGATGAGGGTTAATGGTCGACTCTAAAATTCTTTCTCATCAATTCTTCCCCCTCCTTCCCAAGGTTGTCAACCCGGTTTAGCCCGTTGGCCCAGCCAAACAAGTGGGATGAGGGTTAATGGTCAACCGTGTTAGCCCGTTTTAACCTGGATATATGAAAAAATCATTATATTGTTCATACATTTATAAATTATATCAAATCTCATCTAACATGTGAGTAACATCAACACCAATATTCAGAGGTTCAACTTAAAATTCCAAAGACATGGTTAAGCAAGAGGAAAACTGGAAAAGAGACGAATTTCGTAAAAGAATGTAAAAAACAACGTTGTGTGACCTCCTATTCGGTAACCTTGCAACGAGTCGACCCAACGGGTGTGTCTGGCCCATTTTCCTCAGCGGATCAAAGTCAAAATGGGTCACAGGTCAACCCGCTGGTTGACAACATTTCTCATCTCAAGTATCTCTCTCTCTCTCTCTCCCTTTTCTTTTCTTTCCCCGTAAAACTCTTTCTCTCCCCATTCTCTATCTCTTCTCATCCACCCAACTCTTCCTCCAAAACCCATATCTAGGGATGGCAACGGGTCGGGTCAAGGGCGGATAGTGCATATCCGTTACCCTACTCAAAGTAGTTCGAGTTTTACTCATACCCACAGCAGATCAAGATCAAAGCGGGTCATGGGTCAACCAACGGGTCGAACCGCTGGTTAACAACCCTTTCCCATCTCAACTATTTCTCTCTCTCTCTCTCTCTCTCTCTCCTTTTACTTTTCTTTCCCCATAAAAAATTTTCCACCCCCATTCTCTATCTCTTCCCATCCACCCAACTCTTCCTCTAAAAACCATGTCTAGGGATGACAACGGGTTGGGGCAGGGGCGGATAGTGCATATCCGTTACCCTACCCAAAGTAGTTCGGGTTTCATCCATACTCATACCCACATCAAAATCGTGTTCATACTCATTCGGGTTTTGGATATCTACGATTATCCATAGGTAATAATTTGTCTTTATAACTTCAACATACATGTCAACATTTACATGCGTTTCGGATTTCCCATGGATACCACATATAAATCGGGCAAAAATCAAATTTGTGCTCATACTCCATCGGGTTTCAGATATCCACGGTTATCCATGGGTAATAATTTATCTCTATAACTTCAACCAACATGTTAACATTTACACTTATACTCACATTACATAATTGGAAAAGTACGATAGTAATTCACTAGAATGAACAAAATTAAATTCAAAGAACACAATATCATGAAAATATTATATTTGTGGGATTTCCTACAATAACTTGAAGTAAGGTAACTTGAATTTTTTTACCTGCTATAGCAGGTTTCACAGGTCGCATTACCTAAAATACAATAGGTATTACGTAATGGTTACGTAACATATGGTATTCTTACGTAACAGTTGTAAAAGATCATTACGGAAGCCTTACGTAATAGAATGTGTCTTTACGTAATGGCTATTAATCTCGCGTTACGTAAAATGCTAAGCCATTACGGAAGCCTTACGTAACACTACTGATTTAACTGTTACGTAAGAAATAACTGTCGTTCCGTAATCTTTACGTAATGGAATGTCTTTTTACGTAATGAGTATTAGCCACGTGTTACGTAAAGTGCTAAGTCATTACGGAAGCCTTACGTAACACTTCTGATTTAACCGTTACGTAAGAAATAACTATGGTTTCGTAACCTTTACGTAATGAATGTGTATTTTACGTAACGGTTGTAAAATGTCATTACAAAAGCCTTACGTAATGGGAGGTCTCTTTACGTAATGAGTATTAGCGTCCTGTTACGTAAAGAGCTAAGTTATTACGGAAGTCTTACGTAACGCTTCTAATTCCATAAAAATTAAAAAAAGGAAAGGATAACATAAGGAAACCAACCAATTGTGAAAAAGGAAAGAAAAAAAATAAAATAGGTAAATTGAGGATGTGGTGACCGGCAACCATTGTTGCCGTTGCTTATTTACTTATTTTTTTTTTATTTTTTATTTCTTTAATCAATGGTTTACATTAAGTTTGATCGATTTTAACGGTTTAGATCTATACAAGTTACCTAACTTAAAATTATACCCAAGTTACTGTAGGAGGTCCCTATATTTGTATGCTAAATATAAATTTTGTTGAGAAAATACTCATTTCTAAATAAATTACATATGCGTGTATATAATTGGGCGAGATCGGGTTGGATAGTGAGAAAACAATGACCACCCATTACCCACAATATTTCAGGTTCGTGTTCCCAAATAAAAGCAATAGAGCTCATCTAAGGTTACTGAAGTCGTCTCTGCAAGTTTTCACACAATGAATGTTGAGTATGAAAACGCTCTCTAGACCTCGAATTAGCAGAATTTTTGGGCATGATACTACACCTGACCCTTAATAAGTGAACCCTAGGTCCTAATTATCTAAATCATAAACTATAAACCCTAAGATGGTGCATTGATTTTTTTGCCTATATTTGGACGAATCATAATCGTCGATTATTATTTCTAATTAAATTGATCTTGGGGTATAAGATTTAGAGAATTAAGAACTAGATTTTGATCTTTAAGGGTTAGAGTATAGTATCATGTCCGAAAGATCAGTCAATTCAAGTTCTGGATAGTGTTTTCTTACTCAAGGTATGCGGTACCCCGGATTTCACCCTCGTGTGCTCTTGGAGCATACTATGCTCCATGTACTCATAGTGAGATGTCTCTATCTAGACCATGATATAAATCGAGTTTGGGGTATGATACTATACCCTAACTTCTAATGGATAAACCCCAGGCCCCGATTTTCTAATCCCAAACCCAAAGTTCAATTTAAGAGAAAAGAAGAGTTGATCGTTGAGACTGGCCGGAGCTAATCCATGTAAATCTAACAGTCAGATCACTTGGAGCATACCAGTCGTCTCCATATAAACATATATAATAAGATCATTCACCTCCCGCCCAACTACATTACCCGTCTCATCGTCAAGGGCACTAGCATGTGAAATCTACTTGCATTCACCATTTTGAATCACCAAAATTGCTTTACCATTTTATCCGCGACACTATTTTCATTTACAATTTTGACTAAATTGTTAAAGGAAAAGCATGGCGAAAGCTTATTAAATGGCTGGTTTTTGGCCCTTACACGAAGATGCACATTTCTTTATTTGATTATGAAATGTTAAGTGTTGACCTTGATTCGCTTAGAAAAACGGGTCACACACACCCGCTTGGTCGACCCGCTGCAAGGTTATCGTGTTGGAGGTCACACGACGTTGTTTTTTTTTTACTTTCTTTTACGAAATGTGTCTCTTTTTCAGTTTTTCTATCGTGGAGGGCACTAGCATGTGAGATCCACTTGCCTTCACCATTTTGAATCACCAAATCTGTTTTACCATTTTTTTCGCGACTCTATTTTCCTTTACAGTTTTGACTAAATTGTAACAAGAAAAGCATAAGACATAGCGAAAGCTTATTGAATGGCCGGTTTTTTGCCCTTACACGAAGATGCATATTTTTTTATTTGATTATAAAATGTTAAGTGTTGAATCGATATATCATTTCTATTATTTTATATGGTAAACAAATATTATACTAAATAGATGACTGCGCCGTGGAGCGCGCAGTCTACTAGTATTACCAATGCCTTAGTCAAGCACATCTAGTTGAGACCTTAAAGTACAGTTACGTGTTACATTCCTTGGATTTCATTCACAAGGCACTGTACAGTGTACACTTTCTTTCGCCTAATT